TTTTTTTTTTTTTTTTTTTTTTTTTTTTTTTTTTTTTTTTTTTTTTTTTTTTTTTTTTTTTTTTTTTTTTTTGGAAAAAAAAAAAAATGTCATACATAAAAGTTCCACATGATCAAAAATCACCAACCAAATTTAATGCATCTTCTATTAGTCAACATCGTAATAACCAACCCATTTATCATCAATCAATAACACAACTTCTCGAATCTTCAAGGAAATCTCATTATGAAGAGAAGAAACCTACGATATTTTCTCTTAATGCATCATGTGAATTATCTTGGTCACATTTGGTGCACGCCGAGATAATTGCGGTTACGAGTGCAATGAGAAAGAATTCAAGGTGGTCTGGTATGAGCGTTAGCGGCTTGAATATGGGTGGGTTGGGTATAAGTATGGGTTTAAGAGGTGGTAGAAGTTCAGTTAATGAAAATGATTATAGAAATCAGATTAATGTAATAATTTTTTTTTTTTCATTTGATCTTATCATACAAATGCTACAATTAATTAAAACTTATGCCTTTTTAGGAAACCCCGTTAATGAGTGGATTTACCTCACTCAGAGTACAACTCTTCAACATGTCTGGTATTTAATTTAATTACTATTATTATTATTATTTTTTTAAAGTAACATAATATAAATAATTAGAAAAAATTTATTAAAATGATTGATCAAATCCTTTTTTAGAGGAATCGGGGATAGATGCTGTGACTTTGCTGGATCCGTTTCTAGATGTGATTAAATCAGGAGATACCAATGGACCAATAACAGCAGCTGCACTCGGAAGTGTGGAAAAATTTTTGACTTATGGCATATTAAATATGAATTCGGCAAATTTACCAGTAGCAATGTCGATGCTTTCATCAGCCGCCACACATTGCAAATTTGAAGCAAGCGATTCTGTATCTGATGAATATGTGCTATTAAAAATTTTACAGGTCTTGAGGTTGACCTTGACTTGTGAAGTTGGTAAAGTTCTTAGCGATGAAGCTCTCTGCGAGATGATGGAAACTGGCCTGAGCATGTGCTGTCAAATGAGATTGAGTGGTAAGCGTTATTATTATACAAACTCTTTATTTTTTTTTTTTTTTGATTGATTGATTGATTGATTGGTTCATTCATTGATCACAAATTATTATTATTACCTTTAAGAAATGTTGCGCAGATCAGCTGAACATACAATGGTCGTTATGGTGCAAACTATGTTTGAGAGGTAGAGATGTCTTGTGTAATATATCTACTTACTTTTGCATTTGGAACATGATAATAACCTTTCGATATTGAAATGATAGACTTAAATCGCTAGAGGAGGAACATGCAACAGGTTATTTACAGGAAGAAGGAGTTGGAGAAAATGGTACTTTACAGGATACTACACAAGTGCGCATGGCTCCACCCGATCCAAAATCTCCTCGTCTTCCCCTTTCTTCAGAATATGATGTTACTGAAATACCAAATCTTTTAGCTAGTGCAATTACATTATCACCTTCCGTGAAACATGATGATAAGGATTTTGATACATTGGATGATGGACAGGACGAAATGGTTGAATTAGATGAAAAGGGTGAAGAAGTTATTAATAACAATAATAATTTAATTCAGGAAAAAGAAAAAGGTAGTTTTAAATTTAAGGAATCATGGTGCAAATTTATGTTGTGGAATATGTAAATATAATATTAATGTTTATTATTGGATTTGATTATCCAAGCCCAAGAGCAAGAAAATGAAACTTCTAATGAGGACGAAAAAGACGCAGGTTTGTCAATGTGATTTTTGTTTTTACATTTTTTTTTTTTTTTTTTTTTTAAAAAAAAAAAAAGGTTATGTTAAAGGTTTATTAATGTTTACAGATCCAAAACCATTCGGATTACCTTCAATAAGAGAATTATTGAGAGTCCTTATCTCATTGCTTAATCCACATGATCATCAACATACTGATACGATGCGACTTATGGCTCTTAGTATATTAAATGTTGCATTTGAAGTTGGCGGTCGTACTATAGGACGATTTGAAACTTTACGTAATCTTGCCGTTGATGAATTGTGCAGGTTTCTATTCCAGGTAAACCAAAAATATTGGTTTTTTTTTTCTGAAAAAAACAATAATAATTAATGAGATATGTGTATAAGCCTAATATATAATTCTTTCCATTTTTGAGCTTGCGCGAACCGACAACATGACATTATTATCACTTGCACTCCGTGTCATATCAACTGTATTTGGAACGCTCCGTCCATATCTAAAATTACAACAAGAACTTTATTTGTCATTCTTAATTGAAAGGTTAACACCACCTGCAAGTAGTTTAAGGCCTCTTGGAAATAATAGCGGAGATTCGCCACATAGATCAGGATCTTCAACACCTAGTATGGTTCGTGAACGTAATTTACGTGCAACGACTGAAACCTCTGTTGCCACGGGTGAAGTAAGGGAGCTTTTATTGGAATCTTTAGGTCAATTTGCAAGAGATCCGTCATTTATGGTTGATTTATGGGTGAATTATGACTGTAATATTGACTGTGGAGATCTGTTTGAGGATATTGTTAAATTTTTGAGCAAGGTATATGAGACGAAAAAGATGATCTTTTTAGTTATTTACTTTTTTTTTTTTCATGGAGCAATTTCATATTTAATTTCTTCCCTCTTATCAGAATTCATTTCCCGATTCTACCGGATATTCTATAAGCAATTCTCATGTTGTGTGTTTGGATTCTCTTTTGATGTATATAAATCATATGGTTGATAGATTACAGACAGAGGTATTTGATTTATTAAAATTTTTTGATAATCTTTTTAATTAGAATGTTTATTAAGAAGAGATTTATTTTAATAGAAGGATAAAAATAAATCATGCACATGTGAATTAGCTTGGGATCAAATGACGGCTGCAGATTATAATTCTGGATTAAAACCTGTGGTATATATTTATATGAGAATAGCTTAGAAAATTTCAATGTCGATTGTGGTTAAAAAAGTCTTGACTGTATTTGATTAAATTTACATAATATTAGACGTATCCGTCCGCGGAAGAACTTTTGCAAAGAAAACAAAAAAAACAAATATTAAGAGAAGGAGCCGCAAAATTTAATGAAAATCCAAAATCTGGGCTTGAGTTTCTTGAAGGTAGGGTGAAATTTCAGAAATAATAATTCCATGAAATACAAGCTTTTATTATTAACTTTTAAAATTACTATATGTAGAAAATGGTCTTATTTATAATGATCCTGATCCTTCTATTGACAAAAATACAAGTCTTGCCTCATTTTTGAAATCTACCCCTAGGTTGAATAAACAATTGTTAGGTGATTATTTGTCAAAGCCTGCAAATATTGATATATTGAAAGCTTTCGTTAGATTATTTGATTTTGAAGGAGTAAGTCAAATGAAATATCATAATCAATTTTTTTTTACATGGGTAAATGTTTACTAACCATTAATTAAATTAGAAAAGAGTTGATGAGGCATTAAGAGAAATGTTGGAGTCTTTTAGATTGCCCGGAGAAGCACAGCAGATTGAAAGGATCATGGAAACGTTCTCAGTAACTTATTTTGAAACTGGGCCAAGTAAGGAGACAGTACCGAAGTTTTGGATGCCTCATTTGTTATCCTTTTTTTTTTTTACAAAATTATAATAAATTTTTTTTCCCTTTTTTTAGCCGAAATAGAAACTCAAACAGCCACTTTTGTTTTGGCATACTCTATTATTATGTTAAACACTGATTTGCATAATCCTCAAGTTCGTGTAAGTACATATTTGGTTATTTAAATACAACAAAAATTAAGGATGTATTTATTTATTTAAAAAAAATCATTTAGCGTCGAATGACGATTGAGGACTATATGAAAAATTTACGGAAAGTTAATAATGATAAAGACTTTGCTCCTGAATATTTGGTTAGTATCGTGAATATGGTTTAATTTTTGTTGTTTTTTTTTAAAAAAAAAAATATGCCGTTCTTTATATTTTGCTTTAAAATATTTAGCATGCTATCTATGATGCTATCAGAAAAAGGGAAATTATTATGCCCGAAGAACATGAAGGACAGCTTGGGTTTAATTATGCATGGAAAGAACTTTTAAGGAGAGCCGAAAGCGCTGGTAATAAAAAATATTTTTTGAACTTTCAAGTTAAGATTAATTGTTAAAATATTTTTAATCTATTATTTCTTTGTAATTTAGGACCGTTAATAATATGTGATGTATCTTTGTATGATAAAGATATGTTTACTACAGCATGGAAACCTGCAGTTGCAGCTATTTCGTATGGTAAATTTTTTTTTTTTTTGGAGTTATTATTTTCCTTTAAGAAGTAATTCATTATTACTAAATTTTTTAATTTTTATAAAAATAGCATTCAGTACAGCGCCAGATGATATAACATTGCAAAAAGCAATAACAGGATTTCATCAATGTGCATTATTATCGGCAACGTATAAATTATATGAAGTATTTGATTATATTATAATGTCATTAGCTAAAATGACTGGGTTATTAGGACCAAAATACAGTAATGAAACAGCCAATAATCCAATCGTTAAAATACAAAATACCGAATTAACTGTTAGTGATTTAGCAATTCAATTCGGTAGAAATTATAGGGGAAAAATAGCAGCTGTTGTATTATTCGCTGTTGCTAATGAACATGGAAATATATTAAGAGAAGGATGGAAATATGTGAGCATTTAAATGATGATTATTATTATTATTATTATTGTTTTAAAATTAAATATTATTATTATTTGTAGTTATTAGAAATTATAAAGAATTTATTTGTGAATTCTTTATTACCAAGTAGTATGTTAAAAGTTGAAGATTTCTTGGCGGGTACAACAACAATACCATTAAAACCAAAATCAGCATCAGCAAGACAAGAACGAAGAAGTGATGGATCATTATTATCGGCATTATCATTATATTTATTATCACCTTATGCCGGTAATTATGAATCTTCTAGAAGTGATCCAACGGAGGAAGAAATCGAAAATAGCATGTGTACTGCTGACTGTGTTAAAGTTTGTAGATTAGAAGAACTTTTTGCTGATATAAGGTAATCAATTATTCACAAGATTTTTTCGTGTATTGTAATAGCGTTAAATCATTTAATTTTTGATCTATATTTTGTAGATTGTTGGAACAGGAATCACTTGTACACTTAATGAAAGCACTAAAGTTTATTGCAGATGGAAATACCGCGACAAAAGTTGGGGATACAAAATTATCGTATCAATATTCCCCGTCACCAATTCTAGGTGCAAGCAATGGTAATATAATCAATCAAAATCATTTGTCACATGGTAGTTACGATCCGGCCACTGTATTTTTCCTGGAATTAATGATTAACGTAACATTACAGAATCGTGACAGGATTCATTATTTATGGTAAGCAGATTGATATTTATAGTGAATTTTTTTTTAAAAAAAATTATTTCAATGTAAAAAAATTTTTTGATTTTACAATAGGCCTATTTTATTTGAACATATTACTGGAATTTTAAGAGAATCTCAAAATAATAGTATATTGTTGGTTGAAAGGACCGTTGTGGCGTTATTGAGATTATGTATCAGATTAACTCATAAAGTAATAGAAAGTAATGTAATTGTGATTTTTAAGATGTTTTGAATAAAAACAAATACTGAAATTTTTTTTTTTTTTAAAAAAAAAAAAAAAATTTACTTGTAGGACGAAATGGTGAATGATATCTTACAAGCATTAGAATTGTTAGGAGCGTTGCCTGAAGAGGTGATAAATTCAGTTGGAGAGCAAATGATGGCTGGTATACTAAATTTAATAAAGTCAGATGCCTCATACATTAGGTAAAGCAATTATTCTTTTAAAATCTTGTATACATACTGTTCTCGTAAATTATTCACTAAATTCATATCTTGTGATATAGAGGGAAGAAACCATGGACGAACGTATTTATTTTATTTAAAGCAACAGTAACACACCCACAGGCTTCAAGATATTCATTTGAAGCGATAGCAACAATAATTAAAGAAAATAAGTGTATTAACAGAGAAAACTTTAATGAATGTGTTGAATTATTAACAGAGTTTGCTTCGGGAGCTACCACATTAATGGAACAAGAACGTTCTGAACATCCATCATCTCAAATTCGGAATTCTAGAGCGAGAATAAATAATATTCAAGATGCTATTGTAAAAAGAGCACGTAAATCTGTTGAATTATTACACCAGTTGTATAGAGAGATCCCTCGATTATTAAGGGAATCCGATATTTCACCAAAAGAAGGTGAATTTAGTTTTTAATTGACTTTTTAAAAACGATTTTACTTTTCAAACGTTTTTAACCTCGTATTTTCTTTCTTTTTCCCTTTGGAAATAACCTAGCATTGACATCTTATTGGCTACCAATATTAACAGGATTAAGTCAACAATGTTATAGTCCATATCGAGAAGTAAGGCAATATGCATTATCGTATTTACAAAGGTCATTATTAGATCCAGAATTAGTATCACATGGAGTAACGGAATGGGTGTTGATATTTGATGTAGTATTATTTCCATTACTTGATCAATTACTTAAACCTGATATATGCAGAGGATTTGACAGTATGGGTATGGATGAAATTCGAATGAGAGCTTCGGGGTTACTATGTAAAATATTTTTACATTATTTAAATAGATTAATAGAATGGGGTGGGTTAATCAGTTTATGGAGACAAATTTTGGATGTTATGGAAAGATATATGACTACTGGCGATAATGATTCCTTGGTAAGGATTGCTTATTTGGACCTTTTTCTTATTTGCACACTTTGTTAAATGATTTGTTCTTTTAATAATTTAGAGGGAAGCCGTACCGGAGTCGTTGAAAAATATGTTATTGGTGATGTCAACGTCAGGAATATTTAATCGACCAGGAACAACACCACCAACTACGAATTCCAATTCTAAACCACCAGTTGAATTATGGGATATTACATGGGAAAAGGTTGATAAATTTTTACCTCACCTAAGAGATGAATTATTTCCACCACCACCACCACCAAAATCTCCTCCAAAATCCTCTTCAACGAAAAGATTATCGACAAATAGTTTAGGTGGTGATAATGGAATTGTTGTTGGTGTTGAGCAAACCACCGCTAATATTATACAAAGTGAACATGGTGTAGAAACTACCAAAACATCATCAGATAACATTAACAACGATCAAATTATTAAAGAGAATAGCAATAATGATGACGTGAATAATGAAACGATAAATATTATTACTGTGTAAAAAAAAAAGATTAGTAAAACATTCGGATATAGAGCGATTAGTGGGTAGAAAATTTATTCACAAATTATATAAGGTAATTGTAATAAAAAAAAAAAAAAAAAAATAATAATAATAATTTATAGAAGAAATTTTTGGTCGAAAAAAAAGAACAAATTAATAATTAACAGATATATATATATATATATATATAGAGATTAAAAAAAAAAAAGGTTTAATGAAGAATTTTTGTGTCATTAATTAATTTAATTTATTTTATTTTTAAAATTAAATAAATCATAAAATTATATTTAAAAGAGTTACTTTTTATATTACAATTCAGCTTGACATTGATTGTTTGTAATTTTTATGATAGAATTTTCAATTATTTGCGACTTATTCATTATATCAAATTTCGGTAAGTGTATAACAATTCTATAAAGATTTGGATCATGACTTGTAATAATTTGAAAATTAATATTTCTTTGAATAAAATAACTAGAAATTTCGTCACCAAACAATTCTAATATATCAAAACCATTTTCTTTGAATTTATATGCTAATGATTGTATTCTTTGTATCCGAGGTAGAACTGTATACTTTTTTAAGTTAGATGCTGGTGTTGTTGAAATTGTTGAATCAAGCGTGACTGTATTGGTATTATCTTGAGATTGTAAGAATGTAAGTTCAATCTGATTTTTGAAATTACTACGAGATTCGAATATAACTTGATGTAACATTTGTATAAATAAATTAAGATTTTTCGTAGCCTCGTCAACAATGTCTACATCACGCCTTTCAATGATTTCTTGATTCTCATTCACGATGGGTAAAGTATAAGGGATTTTAAAAAAATTTAATTCCCTTATAATTTGTTCATGAGAAGGTTCAAATGGATTATTTTTAATTGGCCAAAAAATTTTTTTATAACGATAATATTGTAAGATGTATTTAAAACATGTCCAATCCCTATCAAAGAAATATTCGATTGAAGGTTTATCAAGTTTTTTAGTTTTGGTTTTTTGCGTCGTCGTTGATGAGGTCGATGTCGTCGTCGTCGTATCTTGATAAAACATTTTACCTAAAAGGGTGTTTGGACATGATGCTAATGTTTTTCGATACGTCATAAACTAATGATAGAAAGAAAGAAAAAAAAAATTTAAATTTAAAAAAAAAAAAAATTGGGGGGGGAGAGGGAAGAAAAAAAGGTTTTGAAATAAGATCAAAGTGAACTTACTGGCATACCACCAATATTTAACACGATCTTTTCGGATTCATTCATCCTTTTTAATTGATCTATGACACAAAAGCCCAACAAATTTTCAAAACCTTTAGCGGATGGATTGAAATTTTGTTTTACTTCTTGTATATGATATATCATTGAAATCGTTCTTAACAATTTTGAAGTTTTCATATTTGATTTTAGAGACATTGTATTTCGAGATGAGAAAAAAAATTTTTTTTTTTAAAAAAAAAAACCGGGATGGAATTATTTATAATTATTATGTAATCAACTTGTTAAAAATATTTCATGTGATATAATTTTTTATTTTGGATATATGATTTGATAAAATAAACTTCATTTGATAAATGTATAGCATATGTAATGATTTTTTTTATTACAAAACTATTAATGAAAATGTTTGGTATCAAGCATCCAGGTAACCGGTTCCGTTGGGGGTAAGAATGCGGGCTTCATCAAAACACAAAGATTCTGAGGTCACTTTTAATATCTCAACCTATCTGCAGTACAACTTCTTTTAAAGTCAATTCATCACTGCTCGCATTTTTTTTTTTTGTATCTGACAATCCACCGTCGTCCAAAATTAAATGCTCCAGTCGAAATCCAACTGCTTAAATCTGAATTCTCTTTGTGTCAGTTTCTGCTCAAGAATGATGTTCTTAGCACAACGTCAAAAAACATATCAGGTTTGTTGATTTCCGTCATTGCTTGGATAAAATCGGATGAACGTGCCGTTTCTCGGTTACCTTCTTGTTGGAAACACATATACACAAAAATTGTGTGAGCTGTTTCTGCTATGTCATGAAATTTTTGTATCTGCTATTCATGAAAATAATTCCATACTGTGCGACAATGAGCATTAGAAAAAATTAACACATTTTCGTTTACATAAACCGTCTGAACATCTTGTTATTGGAACATATCATTTAATTGAGGTTCATTACAAAGAATATTTACGTGTCAAATCCTTACTATTTTATTAAATTTTCACATATTAGCCCTCTTAAAATTGATAACTTTTCAGTTCGTGAATTATGTTTATCATGTGGATCTTTTTAAAAGAGACTGCTTTTCGAATAATTCACCTGTTAGTTTTTCTAATTGGTGAGGAGGGAGAATTTTGATTTGCTGAGACTTTTCGACTTCACTTAGGCTCAGTTATCTTTATGACGAATTAAATTTCCAATTAATTTTGCTTTCAAAGTTTGTTTGTATGTGTAATAAAGTTTCGTTACCCCTATAAAAACGCATTATCCATAAATCATATATAAAATGGCACATTTTATCTATATAATGTCTAGTATGTCTATTATCTGTTTACAAATCAACTATATTTTTGAAATCATCTTTTTTAAGATGCATAAAATATACATTAAATGTCCTATCATTTTGAAGCTATATATATAAAATGTATTCAATAATTAATATATACTAATTATACAATATACGAAATTTATCTCCTTAAGAAAATTCTTCAAATTCCTTATCTATTATATAATATATTCCATTATGATTAAAAAATCCAACACAATGATCAATTGCACAAGCATCAATAAATTCATAAGCACCATATTTTGAAAATGACAAGGATCCTACATTATCTTCTTTGATATTTGTAGCCCAGTGAATGTATGCTAGCATGTGAATTTTTTTGTCAAATTCATATGTTAAATAATATTCAACATTTCCATAAAAGGTTTGTAAAATAAATTCGGATCTCTTTTTTGAAAAGGCGGACCATTTATTTACCTCCATAATAGCCTATATACAATAAACTAATTATTTTTAATATATAAAGAAACATATTAATATTATAATATAAACTCTATACTATAACTGAATAATTAGTTTGAGCCTAATCTGAATTTCTCTTAATCCATTTTGAGCCAATATAAAGTCCATCTTTTATATGCAAACATCCATATTTTGTACTATTTTGTGAAAAGGTCTATAAAAAAATTGAATTATTATTAAAAAATTTAATAAAAAATAACAGTACATACTAATACAAATTTACCTTAATTTTTCGATTTGCAATATTATAATATTAAAAAATGTTTTTTTTTTTTTTAATTCTGTTTGATTAAGTTGATATTTTTTATTATTGGAGAATAAAACTCAGCTATTTTGGGTTAATAAAATATAAGATAACTTTTATGATTATTATTTTATTGAATAGGAAAAATTTTTTGATAAAAAGTTTGATAAAATCACAAATTATTAAAAAGTTCTTAAATATGAATATTATTAATTATGTTATTATAAAGGTAAAGGCATGATTAGGCTAAAAGAAGGAGCATTTCACACACTTATTCTATTAAAAACTACTAAGTAACTCAACATAGACCAGAATTTTTAATACTATCAGCAATATATAATATGCTATGAAAACATAGCTTTATTGTATTAATACATTCTTCTTTAACATAATAATATTCTCTAAAGATAATAATAATAAATTAGATAAACAATATTTTTAAGTTATTATTTAATATTATTTATTTATCTTTCATAATAACTGTAAAAGAATTGGAATAAAAATTGAATATCTTTTACATTTTATGTAGTTAATGTTAATTTTTAATATAAATGTATAGCTTTAACAAAATTAGTTCATTCAATATAGTGTTTTTTTGGCATTTGTCCTTTTAAAAGAGATAAAAATATAGTGTTATCTATGTTGACTACTCCTTTGCTTTGTATCTATTACAATAAAGAATATATTACGTGGTAATCATTTTAAATAAGCTGAAAGTATTTTTTATGTATTATGCATTTCATTTTTAATTTTATTCCATATAGATTTATCAAGCACATAATTACTATTATCTTATTCACTATCCTTTTAGAAAAAATTTCTAATCCAAAATTTAAATATATAGCTGGTTATATTTTCATAAATTAGATGCATAAAATTTACTAGAAAAGGATTTAGAAATTGTATTGCTTTTAAATCAAATAATATATTATATTTTTTTATTCCTATTATTAAAATTAAGTAAAAATAAATAATTAATAAATAAGCATTTTATAAATTTAGCATACATACCAAACTTTATTATTAATTTATCTCTTTTTTTTAATGTATTTACTTGATTTAATTGATAAATACAATCTCTAAACTGATTATGAGTATGTAAAGGTAATTTTTTAGAATTATAAATTCTACATTTCTCATAGCTAATTGGTGATGTATAGAGGGTAGACAAAAATTTCTAGACACTTTTTCACCAAATATAAAACTTATAATTCCTTAGCATTAATAGTAAAAGTTCTAATATTATTTTATTTAGAGCTGGTTAAGGCATATATTTCGTATTAAACTTTTAGTACTTGGTTAGACCTCCCTTTGCCGTAATCACAGCCTAAATTCACCGTAATATGCTATTGACTAAATTTTCAATAGTATGCATTAGAATTTCTCACCATGTCTTTTTAACATATCGGTCAAGATTAGCAAGATCCAATGGTAGTTTTTAAATATACATGAATGTATTTTTTAATATTAGCCTATAAATTTTCAATTGGATTAAGATCAGGACTTTAGGTTAGCTAAGTAAAATATGGCTCTGCGTTATTCTTTGGTTAATTCTTTATTTTATTCCATTATTTTTCAATTTGGTAGAGATTAAGTGAATCAAAACAACAAAAAAAACACGAATTTTTTTATTTTAATTATGTAAATAAACAATAAACGGTTATATGATTGCAGTATGATATCATAATTATATGATAAAAATTTTTTAAATCGTATTTATAAAGGTGTCTGAAAACTTTTGTCTATCTCTATAGTTAAAAAATATATATAATTTATATAAATACCAAGAATATTACAAAACTGATATCCTTTATAAGAATTATGACTAGTAAGACACATAAGCTTTATGAGACCTAATGTATCACCTGACTATAATATAATATATATATATAATATAAAAGATTCTTTCATTAATCTATTATAATAATCAATTCTATCTAAATTATTATAAAAATAAATTAATTAAAAATGTAATTAGGTATTAAAAAAATTAAATTATATATATGCTTTTAAGTTCTTTTAATTTTTCAATTATAGGATATATAAATGAATTAAAATGCTTAAGTTCTTTTGATTCTAGAAGGATAGTTATTATCATAAGATTTTTTCTTTTTATACGATTTTTTAGACAGATATTTGCATTAATTATTAGTATCATTCAGTAATCATCAGTTTTTGTTAAAAGATTTGATAACCATCTATTGGATCAATTAATATAATATTTTTATAATCACAAAAGCATCTATTAGATAAAAGTTTATTATATCTCATTTATTAAAAATATCATTGATCTTACCATCAAAATCAAATTCTTGATATTGAATATAATTTGCATAATATTATAATTCATCAGCATGTATTAGATCTTGATATTAAATAATAAGGCAATTTTTAATAGAAAAATAATACCATTTAACATTGTAATTTATCAGATGTTTTATTTTAAAATCTTAGTGTATAATAATATTCACATTTATTATAATATTTGTAATATCTGATATATGCATAACAAGAATTAGAGCATATATCAACAAATATTAAATCTATTGTACTATAGATTTCAATTTTTTTTTGTCTTATAAAGACTAATATTATTATTATTGATTACAATTACTATTTAATAAAATGCATTATCTGTTAAATTACAATGATATTTAATATCAAATAACCTTAATACATTAGATATTTATTTGACAAATGTACTTTTTCTTTAAAATCTAAAATTATTAGTATTAGAATTTATTTTTTTATTTTAAATTATCAATATAACTCTTTACCAGATATATTTTCTGATGAATCAGATGATTTATCAATTAAAAAATCTAAAATTAAATCATCTTCATCAGAAGTCTAATCATAATCTATATTAGAATTCAAAGTCCAATCATATTTCATATTAAAATCAGAAGTTTGATTATCTTTCATATTAAAATCTATTATATTTTCTATATTAAAATCTGAAGAATCTAAAGTTGTATCAAAATTAGCTATATTTATTCAATTTTCTTCAGTATTCTCAAGACCTGATATATTATTTAACATATCATTAATATTGTTTGATGAGAATTTAATCTTTTAATTTTCTGTTAAATTAGATCAAAATCTGAAAGATTTAAGCTTAAAACTAATTTAGAACTAAAACTCAAATAAT